AGCTCGGGCTCGCTGGTCTCGCTGGCCGTGGACACGACGGAGAGCAGGGACATGCGCCGCGTCAGGCGCCCGGGGGCCAGCAGGGAGGCGGCGTAGTCCGCTATGATCCCGGCCACGTCCAGGTTGCACGCCTTGTCGAAGGCTATGAACCCTACGTTCGCGTTGGCCTCGCAGACGTAGAAGGAGCCGTCGTCCTTCATGAGCAGGTCGATGCCGCACACGTCCATCCCCAGGATGTTGGACACCTGCACTGCCAGCTGCTTGCCCTGCTCGCTCAGCGAGCACATCATCCCCACGCCGCCTGCAACAAGAGGGAGGAAAGGTGCTGGCTGCAGCCTGCAGCGGTGCACAAGGCAGGCTCCTGTTCACGGGGACTACTAATGAACTTGCAACCACAGCGGGATTTCAGAATTCTCTGACCTGCCAGAGGGAGGTGAAGACTGCAGCTCGCTTAAGAAACGGTTCAAGTGCTGACTTTTTAGGCAAGAAAGGTATCATACATTTTTATGATCCTGGGATACTAAAAAGATGACCTAACAAACCACCCTGGTTCCTTCCAAGGTAGAGCTTCCCATCTATATTTGTAAGGTATCTTTCAGCAAAGTTAAACTTGGGAAGGCTGTAATAAATAGCTATAAATGAGGGGGGTGGGGGCTAAGATTCATCATCTGCTCACATCCCCCTAAGCTTGTTGTCTGTAAAGCATGAATTAGGAAGCACTTGTATCTGAACCTCAGCTGGTCCAGTTCACAGTCCATCATCTCAGTATTAACCCACTCAGGCTTCACCTATCACAACACTTAAGCTTAAAAAACCACACTAATAAAAACCCAAAATAACATTTAGCAGAAAAAATCTTTCATGCTGTATTTCCTCAGCATCAAGTAGTAACTAAAACTTCCCAGGCATTTTGACTAACCAAAACTCTACTCCTCATGAACACATTTTAATCTCATCCCTGCTCAGGCTCAACAGTTCCAGCCAGGCAACCTCACCCCTCCTTCCTCCTCCTACCCCCAAACCCACCCTGTCCTACACCCAAAGCCATGCAGACACTCCGTATACCGAGCATGCTACAGTCAATCCAGGAGCCTTCCTCTTCCTCCCAGCCAGTCTGTGAGGGAAAAGGCTGCAGGGAGGAGCCTGACAGAATTAGAGCAGCACAGCAGCTGCACAACGCAGACCAACTGTTTACTGCTTACAACAGCTGCCTGTCCTAACACCCTCTTTCACCCTGGCTATCTCCTCCACCTCTCCTCGTCCCATCTTCTCTCTTCCTTCTTTTTCTGTCCCTCTGAACAGGACAAAATGAATGATAACATAGCATAAAACTACTGCTGTCACTACTACATCAGCTGCTTATCTGTGCTCCTGAAACTTTCCTTTATTTCATCCCTCCATCCATCTAACACTCTGGGCAGAGATTGTCCCTCATGTCTGCTCAACATTCATCTCACTGAATCCTCGCTCCTGCATTTCCTCTGTAAAGCCCCAGGAGCAAGCACAGCTAATACAAAATAAAGCCTGCAGCTTGTTTCGGTGTAGTTTGTGATTTTTTTGAGCGCACTGGAAACGTGTGATGGGAACTCTGCAGGCTGCCTCTCCTACCCAGGGAGCAGTTGCTCTGCATCCTGCCGTCCGTCGAGCAGCGCAGCATGGTGCCCACCACGCGGCCGCCCACCACGATCACGCGCACGTCCTTCCCGTGGGACTCCTTCACGTATTTCTGGAACAGGTAAGGGGCGTCGTGACGGATCAGGTGGCTCAGGTCTGCCAAGTGGTGCTTGTCTCGTGCCAGGAACACAGCTTTACCTGCGTGGAGAGAACAACACCGGAAGATTGGAAGAAGATAGCGGTGTAAGCTGCGTCAGTGACTCAGGGTGTGAAACCAGCGTGCTGCCCATCCTCACAGGCCTCAGCTCTGGCTTATACCCACTGGCAAGTTCTCCTGTGGACAGCAGTGTTCCACTGCTTCAGTGCTTCTAAGTGTTCAAGTACTGACAGAGCTGAGGAGCCACAGGAGAAGTTAAAAAAAAAAAAGAAAAAAAGAAAAATAAACCAGCTTTAGATAAAGGAGGTGGCCTTGTAATTTCAACTCCTTTTGGTACAAGTCCTTAAGGAGAGAAAAAAGGAAGAAATACTCAAAAAGCAGCAGAAATTTAATTAGCAACACAGTTTTATTCATCCAAGAGAACTGGACCCACAGAGTACAGCTTTGATGCACAGGAACCAATGGCATGAAGCTGCTGAACTGTGAACTCACTCGTTTGCCTCTGCAGAACCAACCACCTCTCTGCTGGAAGCTGCTGAGAGCTGCTCTTCCCAGTGCTGACAAGAGCTCCCAACTCAAGAATGGGGCTTTGCAGTGGAATAACTATGTTCAGAGGACATACTAGACCCCACAGTATCCAAGATAACTTAGCAGAAGATTCCACAGACATAAAATCAATGGAATGCACTACAATTTGAAAAAAAAATGAAAAAAAAGCCAACCCACTCCTGTTTAGGTATCACCAGCTTTTCTGCAAACAAACATCTCAGGCACTTGTTTTTTTTAACCTAAAACGTACAATTTTGTTCCACCTCATCTCTAGAGCACAGCAAAGAATTCTTTGTTCTTTTGCAATTTTACTAATTCTGCTGAAAGTCACTCCTGAAGCAGACTCTGCTACTTTCCAGCTCACTTCTAGTCTCACGAGTTGGCATCCCTTTCTATTTTAGCAATGTTCCTCTTTCTTCAGGACTCTCTTATGTGACACATCAGATTGATGTTTTGCAATAGGCTCCACATTTTTTTAATGGCAGAATTGTCAGTTACACTGCAGTGTTAACAGAGTACCAAAATCAGCTGATAAACCACCTATCTTAACTAAGAGAACACAAATGCAGCAGCAGCAGAATGAGGAGAAACAACATGTGGAGAATTCCACCAAGTGCTTCAAAGCCCAAGTGGAGCAGCCTCTGCTTTGTCAGGATTTAGGGTCTCTGTAACACAGAACACTGCTTGAGGAAGATGGAATGTCTCACTACAGAGAGTATCAGGATGCAGGCCTAAAAACCAGGACAGGAAAGCCAAAACCTTCATGTGCATTTCTCCCATTTCCCAACTTCAGCTTTCCCACAGGCACTTGGTAATCTAAAATGGCATAGGAAGAATGCTGCTTTGAAAGGGATTGGCTTAGTTCTTGGGAATCATGCAGCATCGTGGCATCTTGTCAAAAATGAGATGCACATCTGCTGCAGCAGCAAACTGCAGAACATCAGCCTAGAAGAGTATAACTTTTATTCATCAGCCAGTTCCTATGACCATGGACCTGTTGGAGCAGGTCCAGAGGAGGGCCATGAAGATGGTCAGAGGGCTGGAGCACCTCTCCTGCAAGGACAGGCTGAGAGAGTTGGGGTTGTTCAGCCTGGAGAAGAGAAGGCTCTGGGAGAGCTTATTGTGGCCTTCCAGTATCTGAAGGGGGCCTACAAGAAAGCTGGGGAGGGACTTTTTGCAGGGGCTTGTAGTGACAGAAGGGGGGTTAATGGCATCAGACTGGAAGAGGGTAGATTTAGATTAGAGGTGAGGAAGAAGTTCTTCACTGTGAGGATGGTGAGACACTGGCACAGGTTGCCCAGGGAAGCTGTGGTTGCTCCATCACTGGAGGGGTCCAAGCCCAGGTTAGATGGGGCCTTGCACAACCTGCTCTAGTGGGAGGTGTCCCCGCCCATCCTGGAGGGGTTGGAACTAGATGATCTTTAAGGTCCCTTCCAGCCCAACCCATTCTATGATTCTGTGTTTGCCTGTTTGGGTTCATTTTAATACAACTTGCAAATGGCTGTTCTTCATTTGAAAAAGGTTCCTCAACCTTCTTAGTGTGGAAGGATCTATACTGTGCATAAATCTACATTAAAATGCCTGGAATTTAAAGTACTCTAAAGGCAAAACTTGTAAACAGAGATTTACATGAATTCTGGCTAAAAAAGGGTGAAGAAAGTAAACAGCTGCAAACCCTGTAACTACTCACTAGATGTTAACAAGTGGCTGTGTCAAGTTAAATCTATAGTCTCAGATACTCCACAGCTGTCAAATTCAGCATGCTGCAAACTCTAACTCAGCTTCACAGCTCCACAAGCACTTCAGAGCCATATAAGCAAGTATTAGTACCAAAAGAAGCAGGTCTGATCTTCCTTGAGCCCAGCCTTTTGCCCTCATTCTTCCCTTACATCGACACAAGCGTTTGTGTGAGTGAATGACAGTTTGTGTAAGGAATTAAGCCAAGGAAAAATAATCCATCTAGATTTATCCAACATCAGGTCCAGAATCCACTTAGTACATGGTGACAGAAACAGTCACACCAGCAGAGGAGATGCACCAGAGCAGCACAGACTGGGAACAAACAGGGAGTAAGAAGGAAAAGGTGCTGTCTTTCTGTCGTGCTTTAGTTTCAGGCAGCTGCTGGTTTATGGGCTTAAACTTTGCTTTTAGTCTCTTCCTACTTCTAGTATTTATTAAATTTAAAGTAAATTAAAAACAGTGCACAAGTAACCTCTGATACTGATTTTAAACCTGGTTTCCTTCAGTAGTTCACTATCAAACATGAAACAAAATTTATGTGCCGTTTCATATTCAACACTTAGAACAAAAAACCAGTAAAGAACAATTTCATCTGAACCTGCTGTATTATCACCAGCACTGTTGGAGATATTCTTCTGAAAAATAGAGATCCAGTTTGACAAACAATATGAGTTTTTATTGAAATCAGAACCCTAATTATAGACAAAATCAAGTAGAAAAAGAGTCACATTAAGTCTGAATCAACAAAGATTCCATTTCTTATGCCTGTTTAGAAACATCCCTAAAATCCATGTAGGCTTCTCTCCACTTCCCTAAGGCCAAACGTGTCATTATTCCAGTTCAAAGCTTTCCTCACAGAAGCCATCAATGGACCACAATGTTTGAACCCCTACCCCACCTGCTATTGCAAGACTAGGCTCTACTAAATCTGCTCCCAGCGTTGCAACCCACTCAACATTCAAGAAGATGAAGGGTGGTAGAGTTTAGAGGTACCACAAAGAGGTCCAACACCTAAGAGGAGACCTGCTTAGCTATCAGCCCTTGAAATGAGGAAAATCTTGAGGAGTGCTGCTCAGGGTACTCCTTGCCCTCAGCCCTGACCTCACACCCACCTCGGTGACCCCGTGTGTTCTTCACCACCATAGGGAACTCCAGCACTTCCGCCTCATCAATCATTTTGGCAAAATTCTCATGACCACCTGGCAAAAAGAAAATCAACAACATTATGTGCCACCAATCTGGTGTGGCCAAATTGGGGATGTAATTGCCATGCAATCCTCCCACCCTTAGAGCTTAGATAATGCAGAAAAAACTTATCAGTTAAGAGGAACTTGGTCATGGAGCATGATCAGACTTTGAAGGTGTTTGTCATCTGTGGGACACTACCTCCTATTTCCTTTGAAATGGAAGACACAAGTTTACAAAGGCCTCTTGATCACGACCCCAAAAAGCTCAATCCAATCTTCCAAATGCGAATGCCCCGATTCTACCGTCTCCTTCCCATTTATCCATTTTACTTTATCAACTTTTCAAACATCTAGCAGGAAAATAGCACAGATGTAATACCAGTAACAGTTCTATCCAGACTACTAACCAGGAAAGCAACATGGAATACAAAGACAAGGCATAACCCAGAGAGCAGCAGCAACCCAAATCTTGCCAATCCACCTCCCCCCTTTCCAAGGTTTAAGTCTCCTGCATCTCACTCTCCATATTTCCTGAAGTAGAACTTCAACCTTTTTGTCTCATTGCATCTGTAAGGACCTTAACAGAGTAGCTTTTAATGACAATTCACGTTATTAGGGTTGAGACTTCAAGGTTATTTGAATTCAGTTCAATTCACAGAAGGCTGACCACAAGTCAAAGAAATACAGAAGAGACAGTCAGCTGAGAAAGGGATGAGACTCCTCTAACAGCATGTGTAGTGAAGTGCAGCAGTCAAGCCAAGACACTGCTCACAAAACCAGCAGCAGCCATCACTGCCCTGCCATGGATTTTAGTGTGTCATGGAATAACAGGTCATTCAGCACCTCCTGCTTCTCTGGGCAAAGCCAGAGCTCACCACTAACTTCAGACTTATGTTAAAGGAAGGAAAAAAAAAAGTCATGCTTCTGTCAAATTACAGAGGCAGGCATTAAAAGAAGTGGCAAGAAGTTATGAGCAAACAAGACATGTTCTGCAAGTACCCCACCATTCATGGTCACCCCTCCCCTCAAGAAATTAAAACCTCACTCCTTTCCCAAAGAGCTAGAGCAACCACATCTGTGAAGAAAGGGTATGTCTCTTCTCCAATGTGTTTCCACAGCAGTTGATGGAAAGAGGAATTCATCGTAACTGATGGAAAAACATGGTTCTGTTTTTGCCAAGTTTGTATTTTTGTCAAGTTCCTACTAAAAAAAGCCTAGCAGTGCAACCACACAGGGCAGGAGGGCACTGCTATTTCCACCAGGGAAAGGAGGGCTGAGAGCTATTGTCAATTCTTTAATAGATTGTAATTAAAGGCAGAAATAGCATCAGGGCAGCTCAGACAAAGGGTTCCTCTGATCTAGCACTCTGTCAGGAGCAACAGACTTCAGATATAGGCAGAAAAAACATAATTAACTGTTCGGGTGGGAAACAAACCCAAAACAACCACTACAGGTTGAACACAAGGGCCAGGACTCTTTTTGTCTTTTCACAATAATTAATATATTTGCAGATACTTCTATTCATAAAAAGTTTTAACAACCTTTCAGGTCTCAGCAAAGATGTCACAGGATCTTTACAGTATCCTGTGACATTTTTTTGTCTTTTCACAATAATTAATATACTTGCAGTTACTTCTGTTCATAAAGAATTTTAACAGCCTTTCAGGTTTCAGCAAAGATGTCACAGGATCTTCACAGTATCCTGTGACATGGAGTTCCCCAAGTTTGTGTATGTTTTGAGCAACTGGAAAGGAGCTCAAAGCATTTTAGTAGTAGCAGCCCAAGTCAGTTGCTTGGGAGGCTGAGGCACAGTTGAAGTGCCCTCCCCAAAGCATCCCAGCTCATCACCAGAATCTGAATGCTGAGACTTTCATTTCCTTTCCTGACCACTGAACACGTGTCTGTGGGACCAGACTCACGCTCCTTAATTCCATGGACTCCCAAAACTCGACTCCCACCTACACGCGGAAGGTACAAACTCGGGTAGGCCGCCAGGCCGGCGCCCGGGCCCCGGCCCTTACCATAGGAGAAGGTGTCTGGCAGCGGCACGCCGTGGCCGGCGAGCTCCTGGAAGGTCCAGAACTTGTTGACGCAGTTGAGGATGGCCTGGGGGCGGTTCATCAGGCGGCAGCCCATCTTCTCCAGGTGCCGCAGCACGGTGATGTCGCTGTCGCTCTGCACCCAGGGCGTGGGCACCCGCACCACCACCACCTGCGGGTACGCCGTCACCAGCTCCCCGTTCACCCGCAGACCTGGGCAGGGGGGAGAGAAGAG